AATCTGGTACCCGTAACCAACCTTACGAATTACTTAGTAACTCCTCAGACAATGAAAAAGAAAGGTTTTGGATGTCATTTGTGGGGATTTTTATACATGAAACCAGGCTACATGGGAAAACAAAACAAAGTTGCAAATGAAAGTTGCAGTTTACAACGTTAGGCTACAAAAGCTCACTGTACACACTTGTATCTTGCTGTATTGACAAACCAATGTGGCAACATATTCTGGTGCGCACCTTTATGAACAATCTGAACAGCAACTTGTGAGATTTGATTTTTGGGGTTGGCTTTCTTAAACGGGTACCAAGTACCCGTGTTTTTTTTCAATTGGGACCTGGTTCCCATACTACCTGTAAATGTACACCCCTTGTAAAGTGTCTACAGTGACTACAGTGTCAGAAGGGACTACAGTGAAATATCAACACCTCAGTGGAAAAATGATTGAATTAAGTTCAACTGTCTGAAACCAAAAATAATACTATTTGATTCAGCGAGACTCTGGAATGTCAGTCTAAAAAGGGTAAAAATCCAACCCTGTGCCTACCTCCAGAAGCTGTAGCAAGCATTGCAGAGTAAACCCTTTGGCGTGGTGTGCAGCTGGCTGACAGTGCTATTACAGTTGGAACAGATGCTTTTGACGACTCCTTCTACCTGTGGAGTCTTTAATCGAACAGATGAAAAAAACAAAAATTCTTTACTATAACGTCTGAATTCAACCTATATGATTTTTGATGTTTGTGGGTTTGTGACTTAACCCTAACCCTAACCCAAGTTAATAGTACTGTCTGTGTGACTAATCCACAAGAGCTCCAGTATTAAAGTGGGACTATTAAATTGGTTTGTGCATGTACATGACATAAATGAACATGAGGAATGTGCACAAACCAAACTGGTTTAAAATGTTGAGTAGATCATTTGCAGCTATTCAAAAAGTAACCGACTAAATTACTGTTGAAAAGCTTACTTGGTTAAAGAGAGTAATGACACTTAACTCCCTGTGAAATAATTCCTTTGAAGGAAACAACAAAAAAGAAGGTCTTTCCAAAGATGTGTCAAGTGACACATTTTTGGAAATGTCATGATTCACCCCTGTGTGTTCTAATTTGTAGGTGGTTTGCAATGGGCGAATCTGTGAGTGGGTAACAACCGACTGAATGAGAATCACATCCCGATTGCTGATTTCAAGATTGTGTCATGAGAGGGTGCAATCAAAATATGACTTACCAAGTTTGGAGTTGAAATCGAGATCCAGAATATTGTGGATATGTTTGTTTTATTTCTCAAGATATATAGCATTCACAGAGCTATAAGTTCATCAGGTTAGTTATTAAGCATCCGTCTTTAGATTTTGAGCACTTTTCTAAGTTCTAACAAAAACAATTTCCCAAATTGTCTACTCTACCTTTTAGTCCTCATTTCAGCATCTTACATGTAATTTATGAACGCCCACACAACTCATTTCTTCCATTTCCAAGGACTATGATTCTGTCAGCATTCTTTTCTCTCTTCAATTCCGCACATCATATTGGTAAAGCTGGCATTGACTACTCCCGATGGACTGCCCACCTTTGGGTTTGTGTACAGTCTTCACAGTGCTTGTGACCGAGTTGGACTGAACTACCGGGTCACCTGACCATAAGTCGTGATCTGATTGGACACATCACACTGTTTGACTGACAGGTGGGAGTGGTCCATTTCAAACTCTTGATCACATATCTAGAAGATCCTGGGCAAAACATTTACCTTGGGTTTCTTTTTCGGGATCGAATGTCTCGTCCCGTTTCTCTTCGGGTTTCTCTTCCATCTCTGAGGCCTCACTGGTGACAGAATAACACAAAGCTCTCGTGATCAAGGATAAATTCTCTCCTCCCCCGCAAATGGGTTCATTTTTGTGTCAAATTTTAAAGTTAAAATGTGGGTGAGACAGTACCCTATATATGAAGTTTATTGTGTTGATAATGTTCCCTTGTTTGATGATTCAAACTTATATATAGAATTTTTTTTTTGGGGGGGGAGAGGTGTGTTTCTAGAAAACTTAAAAAACACAGAAAAATCATAACCCATATATTATCTAAACAGCGAAATAATTACATATGGGTCCCTTGAAATTCATCTTTGTACTTGTGTGATTTCTCTTTTAAGAAAGATTTGAGGCTTTGCATGGTGGAGATACTAAAATAATGAAAGGTTTGCGGAAACACCATGTGCGAATAATTTCTCAACTAAGAGAATGGCTCTGAAAAGAACCAGAGGTATAAACTCACTGGAGTTTTATACCTCTGGTTCTTTTCAGAACATTCTCTTAGTTGAGAAATTATTCGCACATGGTGGTTCCGCAAACCTTTCATTATTGATTTCTCTTCTGTTAAGTAGGCTTATTACACAAAGACAAGATCATGTGCCTTGTTTCAAACTCCATTTTGACAGACAATGTGCAACCAACTTTTGGAAATGCTTTAAAAAGTTGTACAGATTAGGTCTCATACTGCAAAACTCCTATCCGTCTTTACTCCACGGGTTTATGCGGAATCTCACTCTCATTCTCTTTGTGTCCTCCAGCAAGCTTCCTTGCTTGCTATCCATTAGACTTGTACTAGTCCTCGTCTTCTTCCACTGGTAGTAATATTTCACAAGGCAGCTGATAGACTTATCCGGCAGCTGAGAAAACACACAAGAAATGACCAAGGTAAAAAGACAATTACTTTCTGTTTATCTGTAAGCTCATTTTGATACAGTTTTTCATCATTCATTTGGAAGGAGTTTGGTTGCTTTCAAAAGGCAGTCCTTCTGATTTGAAAATCACAGGTGTGTGGAAAAACGCACACCTGGATTTTTCTAGGCGTGTGATTTTTCTAGGCGTGTGATTTTTCTAGGCATGTGATGTTTCTAGGCGTGTGATTTTTCTAGGCATGTGATTTTTCTAGGCGTGTGATTTTTCTAGGTGTGTGATTCTGTGGTCCAAGCTGGGACTGAACAATCTGGTATTTTTTTTTATAATATTCATCTTGGTTTACAATAAAGCCGTTTTCTCTTCACCGACATTTTTCACAATTATGAAGTGTAATTATGCCGTAAATGTATGCCGAGGTGTGCGGTACTGAGGGATTCAGGCGTGCGATTATTCGCACTTCTCAGGAAGCTTTTAGGCGTGTGATGGCGTGGGGGGTGTGATCGCACGCTCAAAAAACAGAAGGACTGAAAAGGGATTACTTATACAAAGTTTAATACGGAAAAATGCAATAAACCGGGAAACATCAAAATGCTAAAATACTCATATCATTCACAGATGCAAAAAGTGTCCACCTTTATTAACAGAAAAGTCTAAACTGTATCTCTTAGTACAATCAACACTCAACAATGGGCAATGGGGGGGGGTATTATTTACCATTTGTCTGATCCTGTGGAAGCTTTTCCGTGGAAACTGAAGGCCTGCTCAAACAGCACCTGTCCTCCACGGACCACTCATCAGGGAAGGGGGTAAAGTTAGGCAAGTCGGCCAGGGACTTGTCCACGTTGTGTTTGTGCCAAAACAGCATCCCCAGGGCCTGCTCCGTGTTGTAGCCATAACGCTCCTTGGCTAACAGGATGTACTCATCCACTGTAATGTGCAAAAAACATGATCTTTCATAAGGTTTTTTTGGGGGCTTCAAACGTCTTTTTTTTTATAATTGAAGTCACTTACATTTTTTATAATTTAAGTCACTTACATTTACACTGGACGTATTTAAGCACTATCGATATTACTTGATTATTCAATATTATCGATGATTATTCGGTGATTATTCGATTTTTTAATCACATTGATATTTTCCATATTGAGGAATATCGAAAATATCGAAATGCTTCAGATTATCGCCAAAATAAATCTCCCATTTGTGCTTTTAATTGTGTTTAACGTTTTCTGTTTGATGAAATAAAATTTGGCGGCAGCTTGGTGCTTGTGACTCAAAATAAAACAGATCACGAAATGCTAAGCGGTGTCGCTTTGTGCTCTGCGTTCCCTGGAATTCGCGTCTCCCGCAATGTAAAACCTCAAACGAAACCGCCCGTTCTGGACAAACTATCGGTGCTGGGATTTGTTTTTAAAAGGTTTGAGCAATATGCTCCAGAGAAAGCCATGGAAAATAGGGACTTAAGATTGCTTAAAAAAAAAATCAAAGTGTCATCTATAATTCTTGAATATGGATTTCGATATATCGATTACTGAAAATTCTGATATCGACAGTGCTTAGACGTATTTAACATAACCTTGTAAAATGTACATTGAGGTTAATAGTATAAATATAATTGAATGGCAACTTCACACAGCAAATATTAACTCACTAGACCCTTCACAAATGAAATCACTGCCTACAGATTGTCACGTTCATCGGCATTTTGGGTCAACTTTCAAGCAACTTGCGTGCATGTTTAAAACATTTTGCACATGGGTGTTTACATAAATGTGGAGGCCAGTGGTATAATTCACATGTTCTTTCCTTTCATGGGCATTTCCATGTTAAATAACCAGCTTGCTAATATTTGTGTTTTTACTTTATTGCCCATATCACTATGTACCCACTGAAATAAAAAAAAATTAAATCACCACAATGCATTTGTATAATTTTGATCGAAATTAGCCAGAATTATGACATTTTAGGTAAAATTGCGTGACATTTTTACAGCTTGTCCAATGGTGCACAGTTTTCATTCTTTCAATGATAAATTTGGTCCTTTTTAATTCTAAATGATGATGATAACCCAAAACTTAATAATAAACACAACGTTCGTGCATCGGCAACTTTGTATCATTTTGACATGCCGCTAAAAATACCATCACCCTGTAACATTTGGTGTCAGCAAATCTGTTACAGAGTGAACTTTACCATTGATTATAATATTTGTAGAACTGTCAACTATTCTAAATTTTAAGTGATTATTGAAGTCTTTTATTAAATAAAGAGACTAAAGAAGACCAAAAGTGAAATTCAAAGAAGTACAAGAAATATACCAATTTTAAATATTAGCAGATCAATTTGGTGTCATCAAAAAGCGTTATAGTGTGATACTTTGCAGCTGCACTCTGAATTTGTCAAACTGTATTTGTCAACAAGCTTAACTAAAAATATATCCTGGATGTTGGCTCGGAATATAGATGTCATTAAATTTGAATCCTTCTCTTAGAATTTGAAATAAGAGGCAATAAAGGTTTGGTGTTAACACTGACTCCGTTACAGGTGAAATACCTATTTTCAGCTGAAACAATGAGGCAAAAGCACCTGTTTGATTGATGATTGAGTTTTAGCTAAAATAATGACTAAGTTTTTTAATACATGAAAACTTTGGCATAGGACAGGTTAAAGTAGAACTACAGTGAAGAAAAGTGATAAAAGTGTTTTTGGTTGTTGGCGTCAGCGTTACAGGTGAAATGATTATTATAACAAACTCTGATATTTAAACTTCCAGTCTCAGAAACAAGTATCTGATGTAGAAACCATCAAGCTTATCACTAAATAGAAAGGTTTAAATGGTTTTGATACCATTTATTACTATTATTATTAGTTAGTTGTAGGATTGTCACTCTGTAACAGTGTCTATTTGGTGTCAGCGTTACAGGTGAAATGTTGGTTAACACCAGGCTTTACTTACAATAACATGCTTTCTAGTGGTGTTTGTAAATCTTCATTGTTCTTCATAATTGCAGTTTTGGCTGTCAAACTTGCTTTTAGAGAACAAGTGAGTGTTTGTCTTAAAATAATATAATTTCATGTCAAGTGAGAGCTACATTTTTGTAATCATCATAATATGTCAATTTCCTAAAACTGATATTTGATTTTCAACAAATGTTGAACAAGGATAGTGTTAAAGTTTTTTTTAACTTATATGTGTTGCAATAATTGCTTTAAAGCAACATGTCTTTACCATACCTGAACAATAACCTGGTGAGAGCTCTAAAAGAAATTAACAATTTGGTGTCACTGTTACAGGTGAAATTTGTGTCCCATATGCCAGTTCATCATGTTGCTACTCTAAAAAGGGTCATGTTACGAAAAATGGTTTTGTTTTTGACAAAATATAGACCCTAGACTGCAAAACCATGTGAAGCTGAATTTAATTTGGTTATTTTGAAAAATTTGACCCTAATGTCACACACTGGCCTCCACATTTATGTAAACACCCACATGCACGTACACATACTTGATGGCGTTGAATATGCAGTTGCAATTTGCCTACTAAGATCTGTGACTGTGACTGAGAGGGGTCTACACTACCACAAAAATGCAGACATACTACTGAGTTCCACATACAACTGAGTACCACTTTTATATTACAAAAAGTCCTACAGTTAAAGGTACACTGGATCATTGCTTTCTGTGCATTTTTGTTTGTTTTACCCTAACCGCCCTGATCCTCAAAAGCCTTTTTGCAAATTGGAGAAATTTGCAGGAATGAGGTTACATGGCAAAAGTGCGTTGCTGATTTCGGAGTACACACTGTGTCAAGGTCTTGGGCGGACCTTGCGTTGTTTATGCTTAGCCGTGCATAAATTTAGTCCTTGATTATACTTGACATCCTCTGCACTGCTCCAGGATGTCACTGCCTCTGCCTCAGCCTATTGACAGTCATAGCCGGAGGATTTGCAGGATTCAGGCAGTGGTCACCCCTCCATGGACCATATTCAAGAAATAACGGAGGAATTTTCAGGATTGAGGCTATATGCTATTTTTCCATGAGGCCAATTGGAGGATTTTGCAGGATTGAGGCTACATCCTAGCAAAAAGGCAGAGGGAGTTAGGGCTAAAGCAACAATAACTGCTGAAAATCGTAGGTGGTTCATAACAACTACATTTGTAGCCTGTTGAACTTTTATCTCATTGGCTACTCTACATTTTGCACATTTTTGGGGGTCTTGTAACTGGATTCTGTTGCCAACGTACGTAAAAAAAAAAGTGTGCCATGATTCTTAACCCCCTTCAAAATTATTTTCTTTTGTTCAAAACAATTTCTGGCAGAAAAATTTCCCTGCCTATTTTGGACCATTCCTCTGTTCACTTTCATCAAGGATTTTTCTCATTAATTTGGTCGGAACAATGTTCCTACATACCTTTAAATATCAGACACTGAGAATATCCCTATAAGTATGTAGTAAGCATTATAATCAAGTTTTGGACATGCATGCAGTAAAGCAGGCATATGTTTTGCTATCCAGATGTTATGCATGGTGCATGTGTGCACATGCTTGGGCTAAGCCAAGTTAAAATTGTTGAGACAGTAAAAAAGATGAAGTCCAATGCCTGAATAATTCAATGAGCATGAGACAGATGTTTTGCAATTAATTTATGCACGAAAACCAGAAAATCTGACAAAAATGTTGATTCTCTTACAAAACTACTACATGTATGTAATTCAAATTATTTTAAATCTAAAAAATTAATGCGGCTTGATAATGCAAACTTGATTTTTGTGAGAAATGATACGCTGCAGCAAGCTACCGTCTGATGGCGACCTCAGATATAAATGGCAGTAGTTTATCTTTCTGAAAGAATCTTTTCATTTTGAGAAAGCTTCTAACAGAATTGAAATATCAAGTGAAGGAATTGTTTTCTTTTTCTTGTTCTCGTGCGCTTTAGAATATTGTTAATCCATTTTAAACCAGTCACCCCAATTAAGAAATCTACAAAAACACATAGTATTAGGCCCCAAAAAAGAATTGATGCGGCAACGGGCTTTTTTTTTTTTTTTTTTTTTTTCCCCAAGCTTGGATTGTACAGACAAGGTGGGTACTATTTTGCTTTTTTTGGTGTCCCTCATGTACATTGGTGTCCTCCATAATTTACCTTGGTGCCCTCGATCATTTGCCTTGGTGCAAATTCCCTTTGGGCTCTTTGGTAAAAAAAATTAAGGAGGTGCGGCAATAGAGGGCGCTGTTGGAGCTACCGCGGAACATTTTGAAGAAAAAAAAGAAGGTTGACGCGCATGATTAAAATCGACGCGCGCGCTGACCAGAGACTGACTATTTTTTTTTTTGGCCTTAAATTAAAAAACACAACAAAACAAGAACCTTGAAATTTATACTGATCTAGAAATTCAGAATGGTTTTGAAAGAAGAAAATTGTCTTACATTTTGTGTCGGATACTTCTCCATCAGGCAGCCAGACCAACAAGGCCTCTTGTCTGCTGTCACCCCGACGAACAGCTGGAACATCTGTTTGAAATTATTATCAAAAAAAAGAAAGGCTGAGCGCATGGTGGTGTAATGAGACACACAAACTGAACTAGCTAAAGGCTTTATCACACAATCCTCTTGCCTACCCATGTTGAAATCAACACGAGTCCACCCTAAGCAAAACCGAGTATCAGTGAACATGAGGGAGGTAAGGGGTACCACTCACACTCACAACGGTGTAGATTTCAGATTTTCTACCCGGCTAGAGCTTCTCAACCCTGGTAATGACCAGAGTTGGATTTTTCTTGTGCAGAATGCCAGACCCATGTAGGAGCCGTGCTGGATTCTTGCAATCTCTGTGCTGGAACGGGTCCAGTGTAAAAGGCCCATAATCAAGTGTGGATCCAGAGAGGTTACTGCTGGGGGAGGGGGGGGGGGCTGAGGGTATGCTGGGGTCGGAACGGCTCTCTCAAGTGAAATATGGCCTTATTTGAGACAATTTCAGTCACTGCCGGGAGGGGCGGATGCCCCCTCCGCAACCCCCCCCTTGATCCATCAGTGTAAACGAACTAACTCAGTGAAGTTGAGCTGTGTCATTATACTGAGTGTCAAAAGCTCTTTCAAATTGCAGACTTGCAGTAACAATATCACTGAGCACATCCGTTTTTGTCAAGACAACGAAAACAGTCAGAAAATTATACTGCCCTTCCATATTTTTCCTTTGTAAGCACTGTCATACAAATATAATTTGTATTAAGCATAAGTTTTACATTAAAACAATACCATAACATAAATCCTTTTACCATGACATGAATTTTACTTGGGAACATATTTTGTGCAATTGTGTATTCCTCTTAAATCAGGAAAATTATTTGACATTCCTTTTGGTCAATCTTTTTAAAACAATTTCAAATCTCCCCCCCCCCCTTTTTGGTTGCTTTCTGGTTTGGGGAGGGGAGGGGAGGGAGGGGAGGGGTAAGTGCCCCCCCCCCTCGCAATGCCCATGCCCAGCCACTGCGGACGTGGGCAACCAAAATGTGCAGCCCTGCAATGCCACATAGCATTTTCCAGCCGTATGTGTCACATACACGTGCCACATGTCAGACTTTTGTGCACCCATACGTGTGAATTAGTCACAGCTGTGATTGGTCAAAATTGGGCCGTGCTGACGGATTGGGTCTATTGGCCAATAAAGCAACAGACACAATGCCATTTTAATATGAATGATTCCCTACCTCCACATGATTGGTCAGCAACAAAAAATGCATCACTGGTAACGGTTTTATCAACTTACACTTATTATCTCAGGTATCTCTGCCTGGTAGTCTGCACCAACTCGCAGGCCTGGCTCTGCAAAATACATTGTATACATTTACATGTAATTCAAGCATTAAAGATTTTAATGATATTCATGGCGAAGTTTTGTAGTCAATTCTATCCTAAGACAATCACAAGCATAATCACAAGTCACATGACAAGTAACAAGGGATGACCAATGACAAGGAATGCATTTGTCACAGTTCATAGATAAAGTTCATTAACCCTCACCCCCTAAGGGCTCCTTGGGGGTCAAGTGCCAAATAACAAGTGTTGTGCACACTTCCAGAGCACACAGTCGTGTTTTACTATACGCCTGAGGACAACCTATTGTGTTTCCCTTTGTTCCTGTACTTTAACACTTTCCCATAGACTAAGCACGTAAACGTACGATCGAGGACAGTTTCGAACAAAAGACCCAAATCCCGAGGACTGAAAGGATCTGTTGTTCTCCCTTTGTGGTCGGTCCTCGGGGGGTTATGTAGAACACGTACATACTGACCGGAACGTCGAGTTTATACCTCTGGTTCTTTTCAGAACCATTCTCTTAGTTGAGAAATTATTTGCACATGGTGTTCCGCAAACCTTTCATTTATCATATATTGAGCACACTTGTAGGAAAGAATGGATACTACAGGTTACATGTACTACTCGGTATTATTTTGTAGCTTTAGCTGAGGTCATAGGGTTAATGGTTGTCGTTCAAGCTAGGATGGATGTGTACAGGTTGACTTGTGATGGCTTCAATGAGGTCTCGACAAAGAACCCTCCTCAATCCTCCAAAAATCAAACAGGCAGCTTTGAAAGATTTTGGAGGATTGAGGCTGTATGTCATTTTAGTGCCTGATGATTTTGGAGGATGCATTGTGTCAGGTCTTTAGCTGCACCTTGTGTTGTTTATGCTTGGCCATGCATATATTAATATGCCTAGATCACTGCACTGATTCCAGATATCGTTAACTGATTATATTAACTGGATTTGGCAAAATATTTCTTAACGTCAGTTAGCAAGTACAAATTAACATATTACACCAAAACAAACCTATGATACATGTACAAACAGATTCACGAGCACTTTGTTTAAAAAAAGCGTTATTACATAAACAATGCATTACTCCATTTTAAGACTTTTTAAGGAGCAAACCTCCTTATTCGGATATTTTTTCCAACACAATAATTTCATACAATGTAAATCACATGAGTATTTAACTGAATTTGATATTATGTTTGTTTGTAAAAGAGAGACCTGTCTTTTAAGTTTTATTAGCTTCACAACATGATTTTTTAATTGGAAATATTTTGCATGAGCAGTCATACATACATGTATGTACATGTACATAATCAGACTGGGACCTTGGGTGCTGAAAAACATGTAAAATGAAATCAGGCCAACTTTACTAACCCTTTAGCCAGCCAGCAAACTTCTCCAAAATTTTCATTGGGCGAGAAAAAGGTCCTCAATATTTCACCAACCAAGTTTGAAGACACAATTCAATTTTTAAAGGAGCCTCTTCTTCAACATTTTGCACATAGAGGGAAGTCAAGTAATTTTAAATTGACTAGACTGGTAGTTGTCCCATGGAGGAAGAAAATGGTTCCTCCATGGTTGTCCAATCATGGAGAAATTTCTCCATGGTCCACCCTGCATGGTCCAACTGTTTGGAAAGACAGACCTCTTCATTCATTGTCATTAGTCTGGTGGCTGAATATGAAGAAATGTGTAGAAATAGAGACTAGTACCAGACATGCCAGATGTTTCTTTTGGCACAGTTGATTGATACAGTACTGAAGCTGTGATGGACTGGTTGTTTCAGGTGCAGTCTATTTTCTTGCATTGCATGTTTTCAATACCTTAAATTTTGGGACTCTCATACACAGTATTAAGAGTCCCAAACTTTTGGACTAGTATATTTGTACATGTGTCTGTGTTTACTCAAAAAAAATGTGGACCTGCATGTAAAGGAGCCTTGGTGTGTCAAAGGTTTTCAAAATAAGCATCTCTCTTAATTTTTTTTTTCAATTTTTTTTTATTTTGCTTAACTGACACTTGCATACAATGCAATGTCAGTTACTTTGATAAGATGAAAGTTATACACAGTATGTATTCTGTTGGTGTTAAATACAATAATATGCTGCTTAAAGGTTGTGTCATGGGCTTTAAACTTCAGAAATGAAAAGTGAAAATATAGCTTTGTGAATAGGTATGTAAAATTGCACCGTTTTTACCACAAGGCAACAGAAAATAACTCCTCATATAGTCCATATACATGTGTGTTTCAAGAAATTTTTCAAACTCCTCACTGATCCATCCGGGTCTGAGAAGATTTCGAGGTGTTAACAAAATGCCACTTTTCATGTACATGTACATTATTTATTGAATAAAACTGTATTATTTGTCTTTCTCTCTTCACTCCTATACTTAAAAAAAAAGGAAAGAAAAAGCAAAGCAAAGCACCCCCCCCCCCCAAAAAAAAAGAACAAAAACCTAACAAGCAAACTAATGACCCTAATCCCAACTTTTTAAACTAGAAAAAAAATGTTTGTAATCATGGACGACAATGAGCATCTAATTAATCAGGCGCGGACCAGGTTATTTTTAAGGGTAAGTATGGAACGAGCCCCCCCCCCCCCTTTATTTAACAGAGGCCAAGTGTCCGGAGAAAAAACGTGTCTACATTTCAGACTCTTTGCGATGAAAACAATCCCCCCCTGCGAAAATTCCAGGACCCGCCATGTTAATCAAATATTAACTAACAATCTTACTCTGAAGAGATTTTTTTTTACGTTTATAAAAACATCAGTAATGATAAATTATATTTCAAATACTATTTTGCCCACCAAAAAAGAACGGGAAAATATAAGTTACACAATTTAAAAAAAGAAGGAAATAATACATACTTATGAAAACTATTAATAAATTTAAAGCATCTTAAAAAAAACTAAAATCCACAAAGTAACAAATGACTTCAACCCCACTCCCCTCCCAAAAATGTTGTCAACAAATACTAACAAATAAAGTGAAGGAACTACATTTTGTTCTACATTGGCAAATACATGGCTAACTTAGCCCCACATTAATAAATGTTAATGTTCTACAACTATTAAAACATTACAAACATACAATCCACACAAAAGGAAACAAAAACACACATACATGTATCTCTTCACGGTTTGATAACCCTTGAAGAAGTCCAAAACCCTGATAAAATCAAATAAAACCAATTTACATTTGTGCGCATCGTCCCTTTACTTTGCTTTTAGTTTTACTTTTGTGACTTTTTTTTACCATGTTCATCCTCGGAACTGCTTGAACTATCCTCTGAATGGTTGCTGTTGTTCGAACTACCGCCACAGAACTCGCCCCATTCGTCCGATGATTTGAGTCCGAATTCCCGTTTCTTTCCATCACAACCATATTTGTAGTTCGTATGATTGCACGATCTTTGAGGATTTTCAAGAAATAAGGAGGAATTCGGTCCAGGTATCCCAAAACCTTTCACCGAACAAAGACGACCTTGCTCTCCGTGTCCTTTTGGCTTTTTGTGCATCCGCGCTAATCTCAACCGGCGGATAGATGGCAACAGTTTAGAGTAGACAGGTACGGTACCTCTACAACACTTAACGTCGCAGCGGTTGAGTCATTCGACAAGTTAGTCTGGTTACCAGTCCCAACAACGAGTTCCTCAACTACACGTTAAATAATGTATGTATTTCCCTTTTTTATTGAAAGAGTTGATGCGTGTACGTTTGGCCGGCCGTGGCCGTACGTACGTTGTGAATTGACCCAGTCATGACCCACATCGGCACTTTTAATATGATAACACCGAATTTTCACTTTTTTGGGGGGGGGGGCGTTCTATATACCTATGATATGATATACACAGAGGGCTCACTGTGTTTTCTGATTTTTCGAAACCACTTATTAAAAAAATATCTAGATCAAGGGGCGGGGCCTATTGCTTTACATGTCAAAAAGAAACTCCATCTTTATCAATTGGTGGATTGGAAGGAGTGGAGGGGGGGGGGGGGGGGGGCGGAGGGGGGGGGGCGGGGCTTGCCTATTAATATAGATTCAGGAGATAAAAAGGCTGATAGTTAACAGCTGACTTATCTTACTACAAAAGTCCATTTGTCTTTCTGCACACTCGATTTATTGAGGAACAAACTTCCTACCAAAGAAAGATATTCACATAATCTGCCAGGTGATTTGGCAACCCTCAGGAATAAATTTAAGTATTAAACAGATGGTAGAGCATTTCGTCAGCACCTTTGCATGCACGTTTACTTAAATATATTCATATGTATATATCAAATCTCAATTTCTAAGCACAAGACTCATTTACAATTTCCCCTGACGTCACAAAGTGCGTTTTATATATCTATATGTATGAATATAAAAATTTCTACTTGTAAATTAATCCATGCACAAAAACAAAAACTTTTTCTCACGAAAAAATTAAAACTAATAACTTTGTAGAAACGCGTTTCCAGCCAATTATAACATTTGCAGTTATGCGTGGATGATTCACGGAAAGGATGACCCATGTAAAAGATAGTACTGGTTCCAAACACAATGTGAAATGATGAAGGATAAGTGATAAAATGGTGATGTCAAAAAAAAAACACAAGATTTCCAAAAGATTGACTTTAGACCTCCCTATTTTTATTTTATTTGCACGACAAACTAAACAGGGAACATAATATGAAAATAGC